GATGCCAAGGTGCCAGGGCCGGCTGATACCCCAACATGCACTGGAAAGGAGTGAGGTTAGTGGAGGAGTGGCGGAGGGAATTCTGCACGTACTCAGCCCAAGGTAGAAAATCCACCCACTCCCCCGGCCAGTCCTGACAGTAACACCTCAGGAACCTGCCCACTTCCTGATTGACCCTCTCCACCTGCCCATTAGCTTGAGGACGGTACCCGGAGGTGAGACTGACCGTGATCCCCAGGCGTTCCATGAACGTTTTCCCTATGCGTGAGGTGAACTGAGGACCACGGTCTGACACAATGTCCTCTGGGATCCCGTAGTGCCAGAAGACATGCGTAAAAAGAGCCTCCACGGTTTGCATGGCCGACGGGAGCCCAGATAGAGGAAGGAGGCGACAAGCTTTGGAAAACCGGTCCACAATGACGAGAGCGGTGGTGTTCCCCTGGGAGGGGGAAAGGTCAGTGACAAAGTCTACCGAGAGGTGAGACCAGGGTCATTGTGGAACCGGCAGAGGAAGGAGCTTTCCATAAGGGAGGTGTCTGGGTGTCTTTGACTGGGCACAGATGGAGCAGGAAGACACGTAAACACGGACGTCCCTAGCCAAGGTGGGCCACCAGTACTTCTCAGTCATGCAGGCGATGGCACGGCCTATCCCAGGATGACCCGACACAGGCGCTGTGTGCGCCCGCACACCTGTGGACATGTAGGCAAAGTTCTCCGGGCACTGTGCTGGTGCGGGTTCCGTACGCAGGGCCTGCTGTATGTCGGCGTCCACGTCCCACACCACTGGCGCAATGATATGGAACGGAGGGATGATGGGGGTCTCCTCTTCCTGCCTCTCCTCTGCCTGGGTTGGAGAAAGGGAATTCCCTGGCTTGTCACCTCACCTATTAGTGGATTGAGGGCAGGTCGGGGAGAAATGACCCCTTTCTCCACCATAGGAGCAGAGGCCCAGATTCCTCCTTCCCCTACGTGCTGCCTCGGGCAAACATGCAGAGCACACCGCTATCAGCTCTGGCCACGGAGCAGGTGTAGCCATGGGCTCCGGATTCCGCGCAGGTCTTCGTCCGGACCGCAGGAGGTTCTCCAACCAGATCGCCATGCTGATGAGCTGGTCGAGTGAAAGGTTATCATCACGGCAGGCTAACTCCATCTGTACCTCCTCATGCAGTCCGCTGCGGAACATGGTGACCAGAGCCGACTCGTTCCATCCGGTGGAGGCCGCGATTGTCCGGAACTCCAGAGCGAACTCCGAGGCGGTCCTAGATCCCTGAAGTAGTCGGAGTAGATGCTCACCCCCCTCTTGGCCTTCCACAGGATGATCAAACACAGAGCGGAAGAGGAGGGTGAAGCGCTCGTAGGACTCAACCTCGGGTCCGCCCGTTTCCCAAACCGCGGCACCCCAGTCCAGGGCCCGTCCGGTCAGTGCAGAGATGACTGTGGCAACCCTGTCTCTCCCGGAGACAGCCTCGGCGAGGTACAGGTCGCATTGCAGAAGGAATCCCTTGCATCTCTCTGGCGCGCCGTCAAAGCGCTCCGGGAGGGACACGGGTATTCCGCGGACCGGCTCAGATGGAACGGAGGCAGGTAGTGTTGGTGTGGGGGCTGGTACCAGAACCAGTGCTGGAGACTGGAGGGACTGCACTTTCCCCTCCAACCGCAGGATGGTTACCAGCACGCTGTCCATGGCGCTGCTGAGTCTCGTGATGCTGGACTGTCTCTACGATGGTCGCCAGCTCTGCCTTTCCCGCTGTCTCCATTTTTATGGGTTGATTATTCTGTCACGTTGTATAATGATTAGAAGACAGGCACAGGAATACATATTACGGGGTTTTATTACGCCACCGAACACAAACACGTATATACAGTGGGGTAAAAAAAAGTATTTAGTCAGCCACCAATTGTGCAAGTTCTCCCACTTAAAAAGATGAGAGAGGCCTGTAATTTTCATCATAGGTACACGTCAACTATGACAGACAAATAGAGAAAAAAAATCCAGAAAATCACATTGTAGGATTTTAAATGAATTTATTTGCAAATTATGGTGGAAAATAAGTATTTGGTCAATAACAAAAGTTTCTCAATACTTTGTTATATACCCTTAGTTGGCAATGACACAGGTCAAACGTTTTCTGTAAGTCTTCACAAGGTTTTCACACACTGTTGCTGGTATTTTGGCCCATTCCTCCATGCAGATCTCCTCTAGAGCAGTGATGTTTTGGGGCTAGTCGCTGGGCAAAACGGACATTCAACTCCCTCCAAAGATTTTCTATGGGGTTGAGATCTGGAGACTGGCTAGGCCACTCCAGGACCTTGAAATGCTTCTTACGAAGCCACTCCTTCGTTGCCCGGGCGGTGTGTTTGGGATCATTGTCATGCTGAAAGACCCAGCCACGTTTCATCTTCAATGCCCTTGCTGATGGAAGGAGGTTTTCACTCAAAATCTCACGATACATGGCCCCATTCATTCTTTCCTTTACACGGATCAGTCGTCCTGGTCCCTTTGCAGAAAAACAGCCCCAAAGCATGATTTTTCCACCCCCATGCTTCACAGTAGGTATGGTGTTCTTTGGATGCAACTCAGCATTCTTTGTCCTCCAAACATGACGAGTTGAGTTTTTACCAAAAAGTTATATTTTGGTTTCATGTGACCATATGACATTCTCCCAATCCTCTTCTGGATCATACAAATGCACTCTAGCAAACTTCAGATGGGCCTGGACATGTACTGGCTTAAGCAGGGGGACACGTCTGGCACTGCAGGATTTGAGTCCCTGGCGGCGTAGTGTGTTACTGATGGTAGGCTTTGTTACTTTGGTCCCAGCTCTCTGCAGGTCATTCACTAGGTCCCCCTGTGTGGTTCTGGGATTTTTGCTCACCGTTCTTGTGATCATTTTGACCCCACGGGGTGAGATCTTGCGTGGAGCCCCAGATCGAGGGAGATTATCAGTGGTCTTGTATGTCTTCCATTTCCTAATCATTGCTCCCACAGTTGATTTCTTCAAACCAAGCTGCTTACCTATTGCAGATTCAGTCTTCCCAGCCTGGTGCAGGTCTACAATTTTGTTTCTGGTGTCCTTTGACAGCTCTTTGGTCTTGGCCATAGTGGAGTTTGGAGTGTGACTGTTTGAGGTTGTGGACAGGTGTCTTTTATACTGATAACAAGTTCAAACTGGTGCCATTAATACAGGTAACGAGTGGAGGACAGAGGAGCCTCTTAAAGAAGAAGTTACAGGTCTGTGAGAGCCAGAAATCTTGCTTGTTTGTAGGTGACCAAATACTTATTTTCCACCATAATTTGCAAATAAATTCATAAAAAATCCTACAATGTGATTTTCTGGAAAAATCTGTCTCAATTTGTCTGTCATAGTTGACGTGTACCTATGATGAAAATTACAGGCCTCTCTCATCTTTTTAAGTGGGAGAACTTGCACAATTGGTGGCTGACTAAATACTTTTTTTCCCCCACTGTATATACAAAAGGGATGTAACCCAAACAAAGAGCGAGGTGTAACCTCTACACAATACACAGGACGAGACCCGTAAACAACCAGAGCACAATACACGGTACTCACGAGACCAACGGACATGGGACAATATTCGACAAGGACAATGGGGAACAGAGGGCAGATATATACACATACTAATTAGGGGGAATGGGAACCAGGTGTGTGTAATGAGACAACACAGTCCGGGATTGGTGGTAATGATCCATGTCAGTGACACCTAGAAAGCCAGTGACGTAGACCTCCGGAATTAGTGAACAGAATGAGCAGCAGTACCGGGGGGATCCGTGACACTTTCACCACCCTTTGAAGTTAATCATAACTTATTTCATCTGTAGCCTAATAAACTGCATGCTTTCCCATGATGTTGTGAATTTTTTATCCAACATACTTTTTCTCGCATAAAAAGGTTGGATGGAAACCTGTTTAATGTCAAGCCATTTTGAGGATGCTGGAATTATATTTTGGACGAACGTGTGTATGCTTACAGGAGACTTTTGAAGTAGCCTAATCAGATTAAAACATTGTGACTGGTTGTGTTTATGACACATATAAAAGGTAATACATTTTAAAAGTTAAATGACACATATTTAGGCTATATTGAAGTGTTAGGTTCTAGCTGCGTCAGCTGCTCAGATTGGAGAGGAGGCATAGTACACATTAAGCTTTCCTGAATAACTGGGCCTGCCGTGAGCATATGTGGCCACATTATTATAGGACGACTCGGGAGAATGATGATCTGCAACAGAACGCATCTCAGTATCAGAAGTAAAAATACAGCCAGACTGGCCTGCTACTGTGCCTTTCTAGACTGTATAAACTGCTGAGAGTAGACTCACAACTGCTCCAAATGGAATTAAACATTCAAATCACTCAGATTCTGCTCTGTTATTCAAATGACATTTTCACTGCAGCCTAGAGTAGAAGTTTGCACTCATTTAAAAACAATAATGCAATTCTTCATTGCATTGTGATGGTGTAGGCTAGTCTAAGTAGGATAATTATATTGTCCCTAAAAAAGATCAATAGGGGAGCTGTCTTCACTGTTCTTTCATGCACCTGGCTTCTCTGCTGCCTATCAGCTATTCCTATGTGTTATTGTGGATTCATATAGAAAATATATGCAGCTTTGAATGCTTTTATGTGTGGTATGACTGCTAGTTAGCCTATTGCAGATCTGGACAAACGATCCACCTGCCACTATCACTATGAATGGTGGATAGAGAGTAGGATAGACAGTTAGACTGGTAGACTATATTGACCTCTGGTATAGTAAAAGTCAGCGTGCAGAAAAGCGTAGTGCATAAGGGAAGTACCAAAAGACCTTGATATAGGGTGCATGCAAGCAGATGGTGAAATGTGGCTGGGATAGAAGAAATTATATAGTAAAACCTGCAAAATAATTAATGTAAACCAGTACATTTCTAACTGTCCCTTACATCTTCCTCTCATCTGCCCCTAGCTGAACCGGAACGCCAGTGTGCATGTCCAACAGTGGGTCCGGTGAACCCTGATGTCTCCCTGGTGTCCCACAGTGTATGGAGCAGTCCCCCACAGCCCACCCTCTCCCAACCCACCTCAGCTGTGCATCCCAGGCCTCCTCACCCACCCTTGGGTACCCACAGCGCTGACCCTGGGGTGTTCCTAGGGAGTCCTGGTACCATAGGACCCCCCTCCCCTAGGGATCTGCAGGTGCCTGTCCCCGATGGACATTCACTTGGAGAGGGCAGAGAGGGGGAGTTACACTGGGACTCTCATCCACCTCCACCCACTGGAACTGAGTCAGGCTCTGCACTCTATAACATAGGCTCTGTCCCCCCTTCTGCCACGGACCACCCTTCAATGTCTTCACCTCCCAGCCTTGTTCTCCTGGGGACTGTTGGCTCCAAGGACAAGGCTTTTTACCACCCCCAGACTGAAAGGGCGATGGAGGCTTCTGCAGACAAACCAGCAGGGAGAGGAATAGCAGGTTCACCCCACGGTCCCATTGCTCTCCCTGGGGTCAAGCTGGTCACACATGTCCCTTTCCTGTACAAGGTGATGGGCATCACCCCAAGTAGTGATGAGAGCACTGCCTATGTGTTGGCCAAGAGGTCACTGGACGCCAGGAACTATGGAATATTTCAGGATGGGGTTTCAACAGAGACCTCTCAACTAGAAGACACTACAAAAACATACCAAGGCACAGAGAGATATTCACATGACTGGAACCATCCGATTGGGAGCACTACGACCGAAGCAGCTCCACATTTGAAGATGACAGAGGAGGAACCAGAAAAACTACACACCACTACAGAGGTCCTGGGCCAAGTCACGAAGACTGAGTCAAAACATACTAGGACATACCATGAGGAAGTCTTCAGCATAGGTAAAGAGCATAGCACCCTGTTTGAACTACTTTCTGCGTCCTCCTCCTGATTCAAAATACACACATTCACTTGCATAGAGATTTGGCTAGCACTATATTTTACTGTACTGTTTTCTCTGGTATGTACCTGATATTTACCTGATACTTTAAAGAAAGTATTGGTAAGTACCTGGTACTATCAAATTATGCTTGTTTTAATTCATTTTAAGGAAACAATAAAGTAATGCATGTGTAATTGCTGTGTAATTACCATTTCACATGTAAAATAATCTTAAATACCATGCCATTTTTTTAACCATAAAATAAACTGCTCTTGAGATTTAAATTAGGATTCCCTCTCCAAACAATGGCTCATGCTCTTCCTCATCATCCCTCAAATATCATGTCAGAGAAGACAGATGTGGATGACTCTCCTATTTCAGAAAGGCCCAATGAAGGCTCAGAGAAGGAATTCCGGAATGGGAAAACTGGTCATTCCGATTCAAGTACCTCCTACCAGACAGCCTTAATCATTGCAGCCGTGTGTGGGGGACTACTCCTCATCACAACCCTATTCAGGGAGAAGAAGGTAAGAGGGAACACACACTGAACAAACAATTGCAGTGCCCAACTGAGCTGTCACTAGCCGTGCCAACAAGCTGTGAGACAACTAGTTTACATCTGCCTCCACATCTGAGGATAAATCCTGCTAACCATTCCCACTCTAATTCCTACATAGAAGTCTAATTGAATATTTTTTTAATTTCTCAGAGACTCCGAGCCCTTCTCCACAGTGCCAGAAGAAATGAAAACCAGAGGTAAAAAAATAAAAATAAGAATATCCTTAAATGTCATGGTGGTAAAAACTGAAAACTGAAAAGACAGTGGAGTCCTTTGAAAGCTATTTACATTAATCAGGGTGGCACTATCGCTAGGCAACAACCACAACAGAAACATTCAGACATGGCGATGGTGCAGTCAACAGCGACAGAAATCGTCAGGCAATGAACTCATGGTTTTGGCTCAAGATGATTATTTGAACTTATATTCAACTCCAACTCATAGTCATTGTTCTGTTTTAGTTGTAATACTTACCTTGAATTTGGCTCCCCCTATTGTTGATCTGGAGTAATTTCCTTTAGCTAGAAAATGACCCGTCATGTGACTTGTTAGGAGGAAGTTGGTCATTGTTGCTTCATGTAGAGCTCAGAGTGCATATATCCTTCGTTTCAGATCATTATTTGTGGAATTTGGATGTGTATGTTTACTTTGTGGAATAGATGGACATCACTAGCTTAATTGCTACAGTATGTTAGCCTAGCTTTTGCTAGTTGTCAGTGTCAGCAAAATATCAGGTGACGTTCATATCTAGTTTGTATTTTAGGACAGATTACATTGTCTTATGCAGACATTGATGTCTTTGTGTTTCAATTTCACGCTGTTTCAACTCAATAAATCTTGTGAACATGGAGATCATGCTTTGAGGGTTATTGATGTGGAGGCGTTTATCTTGCTGTCAAAATATGCACAGTAACGCATACAGAGGACAGTACAGTGAAATGACAGCTCTCTAGCGGGCAGGACCACAAGTTGGATCAAGCAACAGACACTGCCTAACTGTCACAATGCCAAGAGAGGCCTACGACAATTACGGCAGTGTAAAGACATCCTCCAACACAGTATGGCCGAGGAGCAGGCATCCACCTTCAATACCAGGTCTCGTGCCTCAGCCTCATCCCACCATTCAAGCAGCTCATCTAGAAAAACCACAATTAGAAGCATGTATGGACGTGCTGAAAGAGGAAAAGGAAGCGGCTGCAGCAGTGGCTGAAGCTGAGGCTCTAGAAGCCACTGCTGAATTAAGCAGTCAGAAAAGTAGCTGCAGACTCAAGCTCGACTCCAACCCACTCGACCCCACACAGCGAACTAGGGAGTATCTCATGGAGCAAGCTAAATCCTATGACACTCCCAAGCCAACGACAGGAGTAGAGCCGTCCTCTGACGACGAGACTAGACAGGGATATACCAGGCCAGAGCCTGCACATTACACCCTATTACAACGTCTCAAGCCTGAGATTAGTTCCCCTCCTGTTGACACTACTACCGCTGTAGACCGCCGCCTCCCTAATCCGGAGTCAAGGCCAGCCCAGCAGTTTCACCTCACCCCTAGTGTACACAGTTCCCTTCGAGAAGGCCAGAACAACAGCCGGACCCAAAGAGGTATGCACAATGACGGAAGTCACCCAACTGCTCCACATTACAAGCGCACATGGGAAGACCCCCAAAGTGGGAACCCAAACGTTACCGACTTCGTGAGGTACTTCGCTCATTGCAAGCTCATCACCACGGGTCTACTCCAATTTGATGACCAACCAGAGAGCTACAGGGCTTGGCGGCGCTCCTTTCACAACGCCATCAGAGGCATAGACTTAACCTACAGTGAAGAAATGGATCTTCTAGTTAAGTGGCTTGGAAGAGAGTCTACTGAACATATAAAACGAATCCGAGCTGTTCACGTGAACCATCCAGAACAAGGTTTAGGATAGACTCGAGGAATGCTACGGTTCGCCAGAGGTGATAGAATGCGCTCACCAAACCTATTGACAGTTTCCCCCAAGATCTCCATCAAGGATTACCCAAAGCTGAGGGAGTTGGGCGACCTGCTTATGGAGCTTCAGTCCGCCAAGGCCGAAGGAGACCTCCCTGGCCTAGCTTTTCTCGATACAGCTCGAGGCGTTAACCCTATAGTCCAGAAACTGCCCTTCGGGTTACAAGAGAAATGGATCTCCATTGGTTCCAACTACAAGCAACAATATTATGTTACGTTCCCTCCTTTTGCCTTCTTTGTTGACTTCGTCATCCAACAAGCCAGAATCAGGAACGACCCCAGTTTCAACCTTGTTGTCGATGTTCCTGCTAAAGCAGACAAAGTTCCCTGGAAGCAAGGCAGACAGAGAGAAGTCTCAGTTCACAAAACAGAGGTATCCCCCACTACCAGCTCCGACTCAGACAAGCCTATTAAGAAAGCCAAGAACTCCGGACGGCAGTGCCCTATCCACAAGAAACCTCACCCCTTACGGAAGTGCCGCGCCTTCCGCAAGAAACCACTGGACCAAAGCAAAGCTTTCCTTAAAGAGAATGGCATATGCTTTAGATGTTGTTCATCCTCCTTTCACATTGCCAAGAATTGCAAGTCAAGCATTAGCTCTGCAGAATGTAAGAGCGAGAGTCATAACAATGCCCTTCATCCAGGACCACCCCCCTGGGTCAAAAAGGCAGTCCTTCCTACAGAGCACGGTGGGGAGGAAGAGCTCACACCTCCCTCTGACGTAACGTCCCAGTGTACGCAAGTCTGCGGTGGGAACCTCACCGACAGGTCTTGCTCTAAGATCTGCCTCGTCAAAATCTACCCAACAGACTACCGAGATGGAGCAGTGACATTGTATGCCATCCTCGATGAGCAAAGCAACAGATCATTGGTTCATTCTGAGTACTTCGATATCTTTAGGGTACAAGGCCCCAGCTCTCCCTACTCCCTTAAGACCGGCGCTGGAGTGATGGAGACAGTAGGAAGAAGAGCCAACGGCTACCAGGTTGAATCTATGGATGGGCAAGTCAGTCTTCTGCTGCCAACTCTCATCGAGTGTAACAAGATCCCGAACAACCGATCTGAGATCCCAACTCCAGATGCAGCGCTCCACCATGCTCACCTGAAACCCCTTGCTCACCTCATCCCAGAACTCGAACCTAAAGCTCCCATCATGCTCCTTCTGGGAAGAGACATTATCAGAGTCCATAAGATGTGCAAGCAAGTTAATGGGCCCCATGACTCACCATACACCCAGATGCTTGACCTCGGATGGGTCATAATAGGCAACGTCTGCCTGGGGAGCATTCACAAGCCTCTCTCAGTGAGTACCTTTTACACAAACACTTTGGAGAAAGGACGCCCTACTCTCTTCGAGCCATGTCCCAACCTCTTTTTGGTGAAAGAAAGATTCCGGAATGCCCAAGCTCCCGATCAACCTACATTATGCTGCTACAAAAGTCTTCCTTGCGACAAAGAGGAAGTTCACTTGGGCTGCAATGTGTTACAGCAACTAGAGACGGCAATAAAGTGGCCTTCTCCATCGAAGACAGCACTTTTCTGAAAATCATGAAGGAAGGGATCAGGAAGGACGACAGCAATAGATGGGTGGCACAATTACCATTCAAGTCACCAAGACGTCGTCTCCCCGACAATAGACCTCTAGCGCTGAAATGCTTCTCCTCCCTTAGATGCAACTTCCTTAGGAAGCCCGAGATGAAAGACCACTTTGTCTCCTTCATGGAGAAGATTTTCGAGAATGGTCATGCCGAAGTGGCTCCGCCCCTGAAAGAAGAAGAAGAACGGTGGTACCTACCTACATTTGGTGTCTATCATCCAAAGAAGCCTGGTCAAATCTGTGTGTTTTTTGACTCCAGTGCCCTATACAATGGAGTATCCCTCAGTGACGTCCTCATGACTGGGCCCGACCTCAACAACACACTCCTTGGGGTGCTTACTCGCTTCCGTAAGGAATCTGTCGCTGTGACAGCGGATATTCAACAAATGTTCCACTGTTTCCTGGTGAAACAAGAAGACCGTAACTTCCTGAGATTCCTGTGGTTCCAGGACAATGACTTGTCCAAAGACATCATCGACTACCTCATGAAGGTCCATGTCTTCGGCAACAGTCCCTCTCCAGCAGTGGCCATCCAAGGCCTTAAACAGTCTGTTCAAGAAGGAGAACCAGACAATTATCCTGATGTCAGACAGTTTGTGGAACGTGACTTCTATGGTTTAAAGTAATTTTCTACAGCCCAAGATGCAGTCACCCTGCTCAAGAGAACACGAGATTGCCTCGAACAAGAAGGAGGAAATGGAAGCATTTCCATCTCAAGATCACGCGAACGACCTCAAAGATCTCGACATAGGGTCAGACACTGTGCCAAATGTGTCACATGGGCTTTGTTATGGGTAAAGCAAAACTGGCGCCATGCCCAGAACACATGATTCCAAGGTTGGAACTCTGAGCAGCAGTCTTGGCAGTCGAGTTGGCCGAGCTCATCACCTCAGAAATAGACATCGAGCTTGATGATACAACCTTCCACTCAGACAGCAAGGTGGTGTTAGGTCACATCAACAATGAGACCCAGCGCTTCTACGTCTATGTCAGCAATCGAGTCCATCGGCTAAGGAGATCTACTCATTCAGAACAGTGGCGCTATGTACCTACAGATCAGAACCCTGCATATCATGCGACGAGATTTATCCCTGCAGCTTACCTCTCAGACACAACCTGGCTTTCTGGCCCAGCGTTTCTGACAAGCCAGTCTCTCAGTCTTGAAAGGGACGTTTTTGAGCTCATCAACCCCTCCTCAGATGCTGACGTTCGCCCCCAAGTGTCCACACTGAAGACCACAACTTCACCCAAGCAGCTTGGATCCTTACGCTTTTCAAGGTTCTCCACGTAGAAGTCGCTGACTCGTGCCATCACTCACCTCGTTCAAATCGCTCGTCTCTTCAACAACACTACAGCGGCAAAAGACAGCAGCTGTAAGGGCTGGTACTACTGTCAGACAGCATGCACACCAAACGGATTTTCTCAGTCAAAGGATATCATCATACGGACAGTCCAAAAGGAAACCTATCTAAGAACCAGGAAACAATTCCCAAAGACAGCTCTCTGAGAGCCTTAGATCCATTCATTGATAAAGATGGCCTTCTGAGAGTTGGGGGTTGCATCACAGAAGCAAAACTCAGACACGACGAGAAGAACCCCCTGATCATCCCGGGG